CTGAGGTGTTAGTAATCACCCATTTTACAGAGGAGAAAACTGAGTCATAGGGAGGTCAATGGACTTGGCCAGAGTCACACAATACACTGTGGCAGAGCTGCAGCCCAACCCAGGCCTCTCGACTTCAGAGGAGAGAGCTCTGCTCTTCCTATTACTTTACGATGGTAGAGCCAAAGGATGAAGACACAGCACACTGCTGTCTAATATCGGTTGGCCCAGAGCAGACATCACCAGTTGATGGCAGTGCTTATTCCTACTAAGCTCAGTGGCAGCCTCAGAAACTTTTAACTCCAGCAATAGTATCTATTTGAATAGAAACCAACACCTGTTGTTTGAAGTTGAAGGTACGTGAGTTTGACTGTGTTCCTTAAATAGCAGCACAGACCCATTTGCAAACCATGGATGGATGTGGCCCCAGCGGAGCAGGGGAGATGGAGACGCAGAGTGGGAGGGTGGTTTGCTTGGTGGAGGGACTGGGTTCTGCAGGCTGGGACGGCCTTCCCGGTCCTGGACCCCCAGTCAGTGTTTTTCTGCCCGCCTGTCCCTCCAGGTCCCAGCCGTCGGTTCAAGCGAGTGGTGGAGACCATCCAGGCACAGCTCCTGAGCACGCATGACCAGCCCTCCGTGCAGGCCCTGGCAGGTGGGGGACGGGGGCTGTGGGTGGTGGGGGCCGTGGGTGGAGGGGGCCGTGGGTGGTGGGGACCGTGGGTGGTGGGAAGAGGTCCAGCATGAGCAGGTGCTCTGGGGTTTGGTTTGCAGAGGAGGCCCAGCTAGTGGGCTCCTTCACCATTGTCATAGCTGAGGTCTCATCTGCTGAGTTGTGAGCAGGTTCCCCGAGAGGCTGGGGCCTGAGGAGGGTCTCCCTAGCAACCTGAGGACTGGCTCCCAGGGATCCCTAAGAAGATGACAGGCTCTGTGTTGGGGGTTGTGGAACATCCTGCCAACAGAGGTTCAGGACCTCTGTCCGGGAGGAGGGTGACCCACCGTCCTGGTTTGCTTGGGACTGAAGGGTGTTTCTGGGATGCAGGGCTTTGAGTCTAAACCCAGGACAAATTGGCCACCCTCTGCAGGTCTCAGACATCACCTCAGTCTGGGGCTGGGGCCGAATGGTCCCTAGCAATTAGAATTCTAAGCTGAGTTCATGAGAATGTGCAAGATCTTGCTCTGGGGGATCCGGCCTTACCGGGCTCCCAGTCCTGGTTATCAAAGACTCAAATCCTCTAGCAATCAGGGCACAGCAGAGGTTCGTTGTAAAGGTGTCTGAGCATGTTCAGACTGCAATAAGAAAATACCGTACACTGGGCAACTTACAAACAACAGAAATTTATTGCTGACAATTCTGGAGGCTGGCAAGTCCAAGATCAAGCCGCCAGCAGCTTTGGTGTCTGGTGAGAGCTGCTTCCTGGGTCACAGACAGCACGTTTGTGCTGTGTCTTCACATAGCAGAAGGGGCAAGGGAAGTCTCCGGGGCCTCCTTCCTAAGGACACTAATCCCATTCATGAAGGCCCCACCCTTATGACCTAATCACCTCCCAACCTGACCGCCTAATACCATCACCCTGGGGTTGGGTTTTGGCACATGAATTTGGGAGGATGCTGTGTTCAGTCCACAGCATGGGGTGCGCCCGCCCAAGCAACCAGGGGTAGTCAGAATTCTCGAGGGAAGAGAGCGCCGGCCCCGGAAATCAGCCCTCATTCCTGAGACCACGGCAGTCCCTCCCCTAGGAACAAGGTCGCGGGGGATGCGGTGAAACAGCGTACGGGGCCCCATCGCAGGGCACGTGGACAGCCGTCTGCTCTGAGGGGAGTCAGGCAGCATCAGCCTCATGGGGCCCAGGCCCCTTCCTGGACCCCGGACCCCTGCCGAAGGGAAACAGGGCCCAGTGTTGAGGCCAGGGGCCAGGGCAGCTTTGACCTTGTCACCAGAAACTCTGAGTGCCAGGGTCAGGGCTTTGGCTCTGCAGCCATGCTTCTCAACTTGGGGAGCTGGTTTCGCCCCTGTGTGTTTCCTTTGGCCACCATCAACAAATGACACAGCCTCGGGAGCTGAAACAACACAAGTGGTGATTATTGTACAGTCCTGGAGGTCAGATGTCCAACCCGGTCTCCGCAGGCTAACACAGGGTGCCTGGACGGCTGCGCTCCCTCCGGGAGGCTCTCGGGCAGAGTCTGTTTCCTTGTGGGTTCCAGTTCCTTGATGCTGCCCACACTCCTCTGGTTAAGGCCCCTTCCTCCATCTTCAAAGCCAGTGACGCCATATTTCCCTCTGACCGAACTTAGCTGGGAAAAGGTGACTCAGCGGGACCTGCACAGATCCTCCAAGATAACTCCCCACCTCACGGTCCCTAACCTTCCCCACAGCACAAGGTCTCTTCTGCTCCGTCAGGGAACATACCACAAGTTCTCGGTACTTGCATGTGGACATCTTCGGAAGGGGCCGTTACTCAGCCTAGCACAACCCCGCAGGGACATTTAGCAATGTCTGGAGATGCTTTTCCTCATCTCAAATGGGGAAAGCAGGGGGATGCCAGTGGCCTCTTGTGGGTGGAGGCCAGGGATGCTGCAGAACATCCTACAGTTCACAGAACGGCCCCCCACGACCGCTGGGTCCCAAATGGCAGTCATGCTGAGGTGCAGAAACCCTCCTCTCATGGTTGCTAGGGGCAACCAGAAAGCAAATTAGGTCCACTGGACCCCATTGCCAAGGAAAGCTGGCCTCAGCAACCAGGGGTCTCAAAAGGGACACACCCTCGAAGATGTAGGACTAACAGGCACCCCGGGGGCTCAGCCACCCGTCTCATAAAGGAGGATGGAGTAGGGGGGCCAGGCCTCCAAGTCACAGTGGTTACTATGACAAGCCCCCCAGGTTTTGTTTTTTGAGACAGGGTCTCGCTCTGTCGCCCAGACTGGAGTGCAGTGGCGCGATCTCTGCTCACTGCAACTTCCACCTCCCAGGTTTCAAGTGATTGTCCCACCTCAGCCTCCCGAGTAGCTGGGATTACAGGTGCCTGCCACCACACCCGGCTAATTTTTGTATTTTTAGTAGAGATGGGGTTTCACCATGTTGGCCAGGCTGGTCGCAAACTCCTGACCTCAAATGATCTGCCTGCCTCGGCCTCCCAAAGTGCTGGGATTACAGGTGTGAGCCACCACGCCTAGCCACCCCCTCAGTTTTTTTTTGTTTTGTTTTTTTTTTTTGAGACTGAGTCTTGCTCGTCGCCCAGGCTGGAGTGCAGTGGCGCGATCTCAGGTCACTGCAAGCTCCGCCTCCCGGGTTCACATCATTCTCCTGCCTCAGCCTCTCGAGTAGCTGGGACCACAGGCGCCCGCCACCACACCCTGCTTTTTTTGTATTTTTAGTAGAGACAGGGTTTCACTGTGTTAGCCAGGATGGTCTCCATCTCCTGACCTCGTGATCCGCCCGTCTTGGCCTCCCAAAGTGCTGGGATTACAGGCGTGAGCCACCGCGCCCGGCCCCCTCAGTTTGTCTTAAAAGAAAAACGAGGTCTCTGCCAGGGGACCTCAGGTAACATTCTGGGTCCCATGGAAATTGCTAGAGACCACCCAGCAACCAGTGTTTCCACCATAGTCCCAAAGAGGAGGTGGCCTCAGGACCCAGGAGAGAGTGACCTGAGTCAGGCTGGCCCAGCATGAGGGGCCTGAGACCCCCGCCACCAGGAGGCTCCCTTGAGCCCATTTCCGTGTACACGTCTCTCTAACAACCAGCGTAGGAGTCGGGGGCCCTCTGGCTATGAACTTCGAGCACTGCCCTGGCGAGCTGTTTCTTAACAAATAGTATCAGAACCAGAATCTGAGAGTCTCCTAAAGTCAGGCCCAGCCCAGGTCTCCCTTGGACTAACCTGGCCCCAGGGTTGCAGGGGCATAGGGTGCAGCCCCCATCCTAGGGGAGCCAGGCCTTGTCACTTGGGGTATGTCCTCTGAGTAACCAAGTCTGGAGGCTTCAAGGCCAGGTGGTGGAGGGACTGGGTCTTACTGGGGATTGGAGCTAGAGCCTCAGGGTCACTGAGACCGACTGATAAGGAGACTCTGCCCCCATCTCCTGGTAATGGGAACCCCAACCCTGGGCTGTGGAACCCACGAAAAACCTCTTCCTCCCTTGCAGATGAGAAAAATGGGGCCCAGACCCGGCCTGCTGGTGCCCCACCCCGAAGCCTGCAACCCCCGCCTGGCCGCCCAGACCCAGAGCTGAGCAGCTCTCCCCGCCGAGGCCCCCCCAAGGACAAGAAGCTCCTGGCCACCAACGGGACCCCTCTGCCCTGACCCCAGGGGGCCGGGGAGGGAGGGGACCCCCCCACCCCCCTTCCCTGCCCCCCAACTGTGAATCTGTAAATAAGGCCCAAGGAACATGTCGGGAGGGGGGTGGACACAAAAACCGGCCTTGCCCTGCAGGGATGGGGCTCCGCGGGCCGTGCCCAACTGGGGGTGGTTCTAGGGGAACAGGGGGCGGGGGAGCTGTTTCTATTTTATTTATTGATTAATTTATTATTTTATTTATGGATCAATCTCTCTGCGGGGTGGGGTGGGGGAGGGACGGGAGCTGGTTGGGGTGGCTTAGCAGATCCGGACAGGGCCCTCTGTCCCTGTGTCGTCCCCAACCCCCTCTTCCTGGGCCCCTCCTCCCCTGGTCCTCCCCTTCACGACCTTCTGTACGGATTTGCTCTCCGGAAGGAATTCTGGTTTCGCGTGATCCTGCCTGCGTCCGTGTCTCTGATTCCGCCGGCGGCAAAAAAAAAAAAAAGATAATAATAATAATAAATAGCCTTGATCAGGGACAGCTGGCTGGCCTTGGCCTCTCGCTTCCTGGGTGCCCAATTGCAGGGGCAGGGCCCGAAGGCGGGGACGGGGATGCTGGCTGCCACCAGCCGTTCAGAGGCCCTCCGCGCTGGCACACAGGTCCTCCAGCTCCAGGTCAGTCAGCGGCAGCCCCAGCCGGTTGGAGAGATCCCCAGTGGCTCATCTTGCTGTGTGCGGGGCACTGAGATTGGCCCCATCTTTCCTGCTTCACTGGTGAGGGCGAGGCCCAGGTCAGGGTGGCTGCTACAGCTGGACCGGCAGGGAGATGGGGGAGGCCGGAGGGGGGCTGAGGCTGGGCCACGGTTGAACACACAGGGTGCAGCTCTCCAGGACGGAGAAGTCAACGGCGAAGAGACCGAAGAGGGCGAACAGCAGCATGGCCACGGCCCACTCGCAGGCCGCAGAGACGCTGCGCAGCGAGCAGGCGTGGAGGATGATCACTGCCCAGGGTCAAGGGCCACACTGCTACCGTGACAGACAGGGAGCCCAGCCTGGTCTCTGTGCCCCCTCGCGCTGGGCGGAGGACATCTCTGGGTGTCCCCATCCTCAGCTCTCACCTTCCTCCATAACTCCGACGCTGTCCAGTCCCTGTCTCTATCTCAAGCTGCTTGCACACACTTTCCTTTGCATGCACCCCCGTGTTACTATTGCATTCCCAATATCCCAGAAAGTTTCTGTCTCCCTTGCCTGACCCAGGGAAGGGCCTGGTTGCCTCCCTACTTGTCCAGGACACCCAGCTGCCATTGCTCCTCCCTCCAAACACGCAGGGTTTCCTAAATACACCTCCCTCCCCACCGCCAGCCTCAGACTGTGTTTTGCAACTTTCTCCTGAACATCCACCCCGCTACCCAAGGCCCACAGGCACCTCCTGCTCACTCCCAGAATCTAATCTCTTCCCTCTTCCCTGTAAAATCTATTTCTCTTTCCGAGTGTCCCTTCCTCCATGACAACTCCACCATCCACTCATGTGCCCCAGCAGACACTCCCGGCCCCCTCTTCATCCCTCTTGGCCAGCTGGTCACCCCAAGTCTTGTCCTGTCTGCCTTACCTGCCTCTCTCCAGCCCTCTCCTCCTGTCTTGCACCTTTCTCTCCTGGTCTGCCCCATCCCTTCTCTGGCTCTCGCCTTCCACCAGCTTCTTAAGACCTTTCCCTGCTCTGCCAGCTCCTGCAGGCTCCAGGCTCCAGCCTAGCAGAGACAGCTCTTGCTTTCTGGAACTTCTCTCACTGGAGCCACTCATCACCTCAGCCCTCCCAGACAGTGTATTCCATTCATTCAGGGATTTCTAAGGGGGCTGAGAAGCGGTGGCTCATGCCTACAATCCCAGCCAAGGTGAGAAGCCAAGGTGGGAGGATTGCCTGAGGCTAGGAGGTCAAGACCAGTCTGGGCAACAGAGCAAGACCTGGTCTCTTTTTTTTTTTCTGAGAGGGAGTCTCGCTCTGTC